GTGTGCTAGACCATAAAACAAGTCTGAGTAAATTTCAAAGTATTGAAATCATACGAAATATATTTTCTGAACATAGCAGAATCATATTAGAAATCAACAAAAAGATATCTGGAAAATCCTGAAAAATTTGGAAATTACTTCTAGATAACCCAGAGGTAAAAAAGAAAATCACAGTGAAATTTGAAAATATTCTGAACTGAACTAAAATGAAAACATAATATCAGAAGTTTCAAGATTAAACTAGTGGTTAGAAGAAATATAGTCTTTGATGCTTGTATTTAGAAAAGAACAGGGTTTAAAAAACCAATTTAAGGAAATAGAGAAAGAAGTACAAAGTAAACAAAGTAGGAGTAAGGACACAATAAAGATGAGAATGGAAATCAGACAAACAGTGGAGAACATAATTTATGCCAATAACTAATTTGAAAAGATCTGTAAAGTTGATTTATTGTTAGACTTACTAAGAATAAAACAGGAGGGAAAACCAATGAATAATATCAGGAATGAAATAGGGGACATCACTGTAGAGAATGATAAAGGAATACTGTGAATAACTTTATGCCAATAAATTTGACAACTCAGATTAAATGCACAAATTTTTTGAAACATAAATTATAGAACAGATACAAGAAGAAACACAATCTGTATAGTCCTATATCTGTTTAAAAATTTTTGAATTTGTAGTTAAAAAATTTTACCACCAAGAAAAATCTAGGGCTAAATGTCTTAAGTGGTAAGTTCTAGCAAACATTTAAGGAAGAAATAATACCTATCTTACACAAACTTTCAGAAAATAGAGGGAAAAAAAAAAACACAGGTTCATTTTACAAGACCAGCGTAACTCTGATACCCAAACCAGAAAAGGATGTAAGAATATAGAAATAAGGAAAAAATAACACCATCTTACATAAACTTTTAGAAAAAAGAGGATGAAAGCACACTTAACCGTTCATTTTACAAAGCCAGCAAACTCTGATATCAAAATTAAACAATGGCATTGTTGAAAAGAAAATAGAAACATAATATCCCCCATAAACATTGATATAAACTCTTCAATAATAAGTTAGCCTATCAAATCTAGCAATATTTTTTTTAATCCAGCAATATTTTGAAGGTATATTTCATGACCAAATGGAGTTTATCCCAAGAAGCAAAGTTGGTTTAATATTCAAGTATCAATCAATGTAATTCATCATAGGATTATTTCAGTAGATGAAGAAAAAAATCATTTGACTACGGTGAGTACCCATTCATGATTGTAAAATAGAGAACACAAAACTCATCATAGTAGGAATAGAAGCAGACTTCCTCAACCTTAATAATTATGATTATTATGCTAAGTATTATGGTAGGAAATAAGCCATATTAGGTATAGGATCTTTTATTTATCTGATATTTATTGGGTAATATAAATAAGATATGATCACAGAGTGAGATTTATCTCCATAATTGTCATTCATAATAAACAATCAAATGTCTTTAATATTGTACACTAAGTAATTTTTTCTTTATTTTTTGTTTTAGATTTTCTGTAATGACTACATATTACATTTATAATAAAAATAATAAATATTTTAAAAGTTGAGGCTTTTAGAAAGTAAGATTTATATTACAAACAAATACAATAGGAGTTAGAGGACAACTAAATCTTGTTGAATGGTTAGGATTTAGGTGTGGGAAAGAGAGAGGAAATTCTAGGTGGAGAAAACCTCATTCATCTCATGAGTTTTTAAGTAAATATAGCAGTGAGTAAACAGAAATCCAAGCCCTTGTGGAGCTTATGTTCTCAGGGAGAGAGGCTGATAATAGACATGATAAGTAAGAAAAATACATCCAATCTTATATGGTTATAAACACCAGGAAGAAAAATAGAACAGGGAGCTAGGCAGTCAAGGGCAGAGGATTACAATGATAAATAAAGGAGCCCAGGGAAGACCTCTTTTGAGAAACAGACAATTTAATACATATCAAGTACATGGCAGAGTGACCCATTTGGCTATATAGGAAGAGAATACTCCAGACAGAGGAAACAAATATATGGGGCAGGCACATACATGCTGTATTTGAGGAGAAACAAGGAAACTCTGTCTGGAGCAGACAGAGTGAGTTGGTAGAAGGAGAAATTGGGGGGTGGCAGACAGATTGTAGAGCCTTATGGGCAATTTTAAGAATTTTGCTTTTTATTTGGAATGATGTAGAAAACCACTATCAATGTTTTTGAGTAGAGGAGTGACATGTTCTTATTTAAGTTTTAACAGTATCATTCTAGCTACTTTTAAGAATAAACTGAAGGAATGTAAATGTGGATGCAGAGTATAACTAGGAGGCTATTGCCGTAGTTCAGGCAAGACATATTGATAGTTTAAATCAAGTTAGTTGCAGCTGAAGTGAAGAGAAATGGTCAGATCAGTGTAAAACTTAAAGGTTGAGGCAACAAGATTGCTGGCAGATCAGATATGGAGGAGCGATGTGAGAGGAATAGAAGAGTTAAGAATGACCAAAAGTATATATTATACCATGGAGTTCTACTCAACCACAAAAAACAATGGTGATCTAGCACCTCTTGTATTATCCTGGATACAGCTGGAGCCCATTGTACTAAGTGAAGTATCACAAGAATGCAAAAACAAGCACCACATGTACTCACCATCAAAACTTAACTGATCAACACTTAAGTGCACACATAGTAATAACACTCATGTGGTGTCAGACAGATGCGGGGGGGGTAGGGGGTAAGTAGGGGATGGGTATATACACACCTAATGGATGCAGTGCGCACTGTCTGGGGGATGGATATGCTTGAAGCTCTGACTTGGGTGGGGCAAAGGCAATATATGTAACCTAAACATATTTACCCCCGTAATATGCTGAAATAAACTTTTTTTAAAAAAAGAATGACCACAAGTTTTTTGACTAAACAACTGGAAAGATTGAATTACCATTAGTTGGGTGGACGGAGAATGTAGGAGGAATAGATTTGTAGAAGATTAAGAGTTTAGTTTTAGACAAGTTCAATTTGAGATGCATATTAGATGTTCTACATATAGCTGTTGTGCAGGTGGAATTCAAGACTAGAGTTTGAGAGGAGAGGTCCAGTCTGGAGATAACTACTTGGGAGTTGACAGTGTATAGATATATTTAAAGCCACAAGACTGAATGAGATCACCAGTGGTGTCAACGTAGTTATAAAAGAGATCTAGAGACTGAGGCCTGACTCACTCCTGTTTTAAGAAATGAAGAGAGATGAGAAGGAACTAGCAACAGAGACTAAAAAGGTGTAGAGGTAGGAGGAGAACCAGGAGAGTTCATTGTCAAGGAAACCAAGTAAAATATTTTAAAGAAGGAAGTAATCCACTATGTCAAATGCTGTTAATAGGTCAAATAAGGTGAGGATTAAGAATTGATCATTAAATTCCTTGGTGACTTGGCAAGAGCAGTTTTGGTGGAGTGTTAAAGTGAAAACCTGACTGGAATGGATTTAAGGGTATATGGAAGGTGAGAAATTGAAGACAGTAAATACTGTTGAAGAGTTTTGCTGTTAAAGAGATGTAGAGAAAGTGCAGTCACAAAGGGGAGATGAGAGTTAAAGGAGAATTGTTCTATTTTTTAATGGAGAATAACAGTACATTTACACACTAATGAAAATAATCTAGTATAGAGGGAATAGCAATGATATAAGAAGAAATAGGAAGAATTTCTGGAATGATGTACTTGAGAAGACCTAAGGGGATATATGTTTCAGAGCACAATTGTAGAGGTTGATTTTGCTAAGATCAGATCTGTGTCAGGGATTCCCCAGACTTTCCCTGGGTTTGATGATTCACCAGGAGGATTCACATAATTCAGCATATAGTTGTACTCATGGTTATGATTTATTACAGTGAAAGGATAGAAAGCAAAATCAGTGAAGGGAAAAGGTACATGGGGTGAAATCTGGAGGAAACTACGTGCAAGCTTGCAAAAGTCCTCTCACGGGGGAGTCACACAGACTGAATCCTCACACGTGATGCACTTAATTCCTTCACCAACAAATTGTGGCATGTGTGAAGTATTGTCTATGAGGGAAGCTCATTAGAGATTCAGTGCTCAAGGTTTTTATTAGAGGCTTATAAGACATTCTCTGTCAAGTGCATACTAGAATTACAGCCTGAAGGACAAGCAGGTGTTCAGCATAAAGCATATTGTTTGCACTAACAGTTTTGGCACAGTGAGCCATTCTTACCATTTAGAGAATGGTGGGAATCCCCCCAAATATAAGGTCCCATATTCCAGCGAAGAGCCAGATTGGCTTGCATTCCATTCTGAGGATTGCAGTCTTAGGCCTACTGTGTTAACTCTTTCTGCATAAGGTCCAATTTGTAGTAAAAGAGAAGGCACATGTGAAGGGTCAATGTTGGGGATGATGAGCAAAAGTTTGATAGTGGGAATGAAGATACTGGTGAAGACAGAAAAGATTATTTGAAAAACAATACTTACTTGAAAAATGATACATGTATTTGTTAGTGATTAAATGTCTGCAATGCTGGTTTATTTTTAAATCCATATGCACAGTAGAGAAATAATTAGATAGGAGATACCAACATAATGAGGTAGTATATTGCTATGACAACTATAATTGTCTTGGCTTTTTTGTAGTATTTTTAGTTTCAAATGAATGATCTGATTTCTTACGTCTTATAAAACCTAATATTCTGGTATATACCAAATATTCTCAGATTATATGCAACATAACAAATGGTACAAACATGATTTATTAGACCAATATTCCAATTTGGGTTCAGAAAACCAACATATACCTATAAAAATGTTTAGCAGAACACAAAATATTATGTATACACTAATACTCTTATTTAAACTGTATAAGAATGTTTTTCTATACCTTCTGATGAGAGGTTATATAAATTTTTTTTCTGTAAAATTACTCATATGCAAAAAGGAATATGTAGTATTTTTATTATGATACCAAGCTTTAATTATGCCATGGTGATTTATTTTAATAGGGTCAAGAATTTGCTCCAAAAAGTGTGACAATAATTGGTCATTCTATGGGTGGCCTTGTTGCAAGAGCATTGCTTACACTGAAAAATTTTAAACAAGATCTGATAAATCTTCTTATTACACAAGCCACACCTCATGTTGCTCCTGTGATGCCATTAGATCGTTTCATTACAGGTGAGTACTGTTACATAAACACTAACTGACCTCCCTATTGTTGTTCAAGATTAAATAGATCAAATAAATAAATCCCTGTGGCTATTCCCCTGAGAGTGTGCTACACAGATTTATCCATGTGTGAAGAAGCTCAACTGCAAATCAGCACTTTGTGTCTTTCAAATTAGGCTCATAATTGAAAATATTGTTAGTTTTCTCTGTTTATAACATCTTGTCCATAGCAACACATGGTTGACATGTGTTTTATAATCCTAGACACTAGACCTTCAGTTTAGTATTCTTGAGGATGATTTTCCTGTCTCTCAAGATGCGTCTAAACTTCCTATGTTTTTGTTAACTGTTCCACTACTTTATCCCAAATAAACTTTTATTTAAAGTAAAATAGCAATGTTTTGTTTTTAAATGAATAGGTATGCTAACAGTGAGGTAGAATTGCTGATATTTAATGAGGTTTTATTACATTTTGGGTATTATATTAAGGATTTCACTTGATGTATTACCACCCTTAATCTTCACTATAGTCCTGTGAAGTTGATAACATTATTATCCTCTTGTTTATGATAGAAAAAGAGGCCAAGATAAAGTTCTTGACCAAAGTTATGGGGCAAGAAAGTAGTTGAGCCAATATTTAACCCTGACAAATTTGTTCCTGGACCTGTGCCCTTAGCATGCTATACTGCCTCTTAATTGACCTGTATTACCATAGCATAGGAAATAAAACTACAGATAATACTATAATATTTCAGAGAATTTTGAATGAATTGAGGACTTTATGATTCTGTCGTTTGATTAGTGATGTTTCAGAATAAGAATTCACTGCCTACTGTCTCAACTTTTGTTAAAGTCAAAGATTATCTTCATTGCTTATAGGAATATTATATGAGTAGAAGAAAATCTTTAGAAAGAATTCTTCCTGGTCAGTAAATTTATACAATGTTTTATCAAAATTTGGATTATCTTAATTTTGATGAAAACTTTGCTGTAGTTAAGTGAGAAATATCCCCCAGTGACTCCAAAGTAGTTTTCTAAAGTGCCCATCTTAGCATAACATCGCCAAGGAATGATTTATTTGCTAGAAGTATTTGGTACAACAGTAATTATTAGGAGATTTGGGATTTTTTTGTTATTACATTTAAAACTTTGCCTATAGAAATCTTTTAATAGCAAAAATTTCTGATTTTACTACTGAAGTTGTTTAAATCTGTTGTACTACTTGTAATAATCATAAATGACTATAGGTTTAGAAAAAAATCAAAGGCTAAAAATGATAGTGCTTGTCACCACAATTGAGAGCTCTTTATGTTATTGCATTTTGTATGGTATATATAGATGAGTTGTGTAGTTTAAATTAAGAGTCTCATGCTCTACCGACTAAGCTAGCTGGGCACCTATGTAGATTAAATTAGAATGACTTAAAAACATTCTAAAAAATTCTTTGAGGAACGAACTTTCAATAGAGTCAGGTTTTATTGTTTTGAAAGATGGCGATGGTCTATCTCTAAAAGGCTCAGACAGAAAGTGATTGTTAGTGCCTTTCCTGTAATTAGTAAGCATCTTTCTTCTTTATTCTACATTTATTTTTTATTTCAGTAAGTCAAAATTAGAATGAAAAAAACCAAAAGAACTAGTTCAAAGGATCATGGATTTTTAAGTTTTGAGAGACAGAGATCCATAAGACCTCCAGAAGTAGATTCTCTGTATATATTTGGTGGAAATACCTTAAATAGGAGGAAGGAGGCCCTGCACTGGGCTCTGCACTACAGAGGATCCTGCCCTGGAGCTGTCCTTCCCTATATGGTAAGAAGTATATAGGCTAAGCTTTCCCACTTAGAGCTCATGCCTTTACTTCTAGACCATGATCCAGACAACCAGGCCTCCAGACTTTTCTTGCCCATATGCCCCATTTGTACTTCCAGGGCCTGTGTGGGTCTCTTACCTGGCTCTGTCCTCCTAAAGGCAAGTATGTACAATCCTAAACTTAAGTTGTAGCCAAGGGGTACCTCTGCAGAAGTACAGACAGAGCTTGGATGTGCACATCCTTGTGATATAAGATGGAATTGGGATAGGAAGAGCAGGAGGATAGAATAGTAACGGACCAGAGATCTGCTCTTCCTGTGCTACCACAATCCAATGTCCAGCTCTGAGGTGTCTTAGAATTCTTAATTTGAACCTGGCCTTCTGGATTATTTCAGCGATATATTTGTCAAGATAGGCAGGGATAATATATTTAACAGTTTGTTAGCTGGATTTTTTACTTTTAAGTATTTAGACATAAGGCATGTGTCCTACATTAGTTCTTGTATACCAGGCTCTCCAGATGTTAGGACTGGTTTGGCTTGGTGGCAATCTCAGTAAATATTGCTGAGATCTCTAATGGGAGGAGCTTGCTCTGCCAAATGTTGAAAGCCCTTAGTGGGACCACATGCCAGGATAAAAATGCAGTAAATTTTTTTTTTTTAGATAGGGTCTTGCTCTGTTGCCTAGGGTAGAGTACTAGAGTGCAGTGGCGTCATTGTAGCTCACTGCAGCCTCAAACTCCTGGGCTCAAGCAATCCCCCTGCCTCAGCCTCCCAAATAGCTAGGCATGAGCCACCACACCTGGCCAAGTTTTGATAATCAGAAAAAAATGAGAACTCCCTAGCCTTGGCCTCAATTTAATAATCTTTGACACTAAAATTTTCTCACATAGATAAACTGAAAAATTGTCTGCAAATTCTTCCCTTTGAACTGCTTGTTACACTAAATGAATAGAATCCTAACCTGAGATTTTCCACAGCACCCTAGTCATAAGACAATATCAATGATATTGTCCTGATAGATTGTATTGTAAAAATTTAAATAGTATTTTGTGTGGTGTGGTAGGTCATAATAGAAAGTTGCTAAGCCCTTATAAGCAGGGACACTACCATGATAGGGAGGAATCTATAGCTCTTTTGTTGTTGTTGTTAAAAAACCACTTTAGAGGCCGGGCGCTGTGGCTCACGCCTGTAATCCTAGCTCTTGGAAGGCCGAGGCGGGCGGATTGCTCAAGGTCAGGAGTTCAAAACCAGCCTGAGCAAGAGCGAGACCCCGTCTCTACTATAAACAGAAAGAAATTAATTGGCCAACTGATATATATATATAAAAAATTAGCCGGGCATAGTGGCACATGCCTGTAGTACCAGCTACTCGGGAGGCTGAGGCAGAAGGATCACTCGAGCCCAGGAGTTTGGGGTTGCTGTGAGCTAAGGCTGACGCCACGGCACTCACTCTAGCCTGGACAACAAAGTGAGACTCTGTCTCAAAAAAAAAAAAAAAAACAAAAAAAAAAACCACTTTAGAGTGTAATTGATAAACAAAAAACTTCACGTATTTAATTTATACAATTTGACAGGTTCAAACATCGCAATACACCGTGAAACCAATACCACAAATGTCTACAATTCTTTCGCATAGTAAATTCTTCTCTTTAGAAGAACTTTAGAGTTTTCTCTCCTTGCTGTACTGTGTGGCTCATGAGCAAGCATCATCCTTGTGGAATCTAGTGATATGTGTGCATATGGACTTGTCAAAGCTAGTAAGATTTGGATATCTTTTTTCTTTATTGATGCCTGTGGTAGCTCTTAGTATTTGTACTTTAACAGGGAAGCAGGAATGTGCAAAGATACTGATTTTACTCAAAATAGGGAAATATGAATAATACATAGTTTGTAGAGCAGATGGCTTATGCAAAAATTTAAAATATTAGTATTACTGTACAGATATCGTTGCAGGGAGTGAGTACTCCTTTTTAACATCTCTTTTTTATTCCCTACCAGATTTTTATATGACTGTAAACAATTATTGGATTCTAAATGCTCGGCACATAAATTTAACCACACTTTCTGTAGCTGGAGGATTCCGGGATTACCAAGTTCGTTCAGGACTGACATTTCTACCAAAACTAAGCCATCATACCAGTGCCTTATCTGTTGTGGTAATCTTTTTTAAGATTATACTGAAATAATAACGTAATAGACATAGTGGAACATGAAAGGAGAAATAATATCGGTAGTGACTGCTGAGTTGGTGGTGTAAGGTTGCTGTATGTCCTATGTATGTGTTTGTGTATGAGAGAGATTCGCTCTCTACTCTGAACATACTATGAATGAATGAATATGAATGTGTTGTGAGGGCAGAGTCATGGATGTTTTTGTCCATAGAAAGTAGAAAAGATCTTAGAAACATGGTGAAAATGACTCTTATTTATGAGGAATAATTGTTTCTTGTCCAAAATAATACCCTATCCATCAAATAGAGTTGTGACTGTCAGAAAGGGTGGACTGAAGTCCAAGGGAATTAAGTTACTTCCGATTGTTATACTGTATACGATAGCAGTAGAATATCGAATATACCACATACCCTTGAATGCTAAACTTGGATGAAGGTTTACCAATTTTAAAATAAAATGATTAGCTTTGATAATGTAAGTATAAATAGAACCCTGTTTAATTAATTTGCTATTTATTCTTCCCTGTTAGGCTATCAAGTATTTAGTCTTTAACTGGGATACATAACCTATGTAAAGTGAGTTCAAATTTCCTTTTAGGACTTCTTTTTTGTATATTTAACCTTGAAGTCTTCAGTTAAGATCTTCTTAATTCAGTATATACATCATCTCCAAATACAACTTATTTTCTAAAGAGAAAATCCATAGAATGTGGTCTGCCCATTGCTTTTGCTTTTTAGGAGATAGTTCTAGAAAGTCACTGTGTCATAGTTGGTCCTCTTCATAGAGACTCCTTTGTTCATCTCATCTATTGTTGCCCTACCTTAGATTGCTGTTCATTCATTAAATAGATATTTACTGAATAATTGCCATACATAGAACAAAAATTATTAAGCTATTTGCTATTACCTACCATTTTCTTATAACTGGAGGAATTGGGATATAGCCAGATTAGCTTTGGAACTAAATTAGTAAATCTATCAAACTTCATTATTGGTGGTATGAATCTTGTTATTTGATTTTGAATATTTTGGGCAGATATTTACCAGAAGTCCTCAAAAAGCTAAATGTCGACTTTAGTTGACATTTAGATGTCACAGATGATTTAGTCATATAAAATTGGATATAGCTTATTTCCTGTACTTTGTCTGGAGCATGATGCTATATTGATACCACATCTTGAAGCTTATCTTTTAAAGAATTTTATTCTTTTTAATCCTGTGTGTGTGTGTGTGTGTGTGTATTTCCCTATTTTTTCTAATCCATTTTATAATGTGTTGCCTTCAAGACAGCTTGTATTTCAAAACTTGCTATTATATAACCTGAGTTTTATTTGTTTTAGCCCCCAGATAGTCTACAGTCTTTCATATATCTACATGTATATTCACTTTTTAAAAAGTTATTAAGAAGTAACAACTTTTGAATGATTGTCTCAAGAAGACTTAAATAACATTTATATCCATTGAGACTTAAGAAATCATATAAGTTAGAGACCATAATTGTATTGTTAGGGTTGGCTAAACTACTGTAATAATGCTGTCCAATTTTTAGTAAGCTGTCAGCAGTAATTTCTAAATATGTCAAGTGCTTATAAATTCACTAAATAAGTTATAGATTCTTCCCACTTCAGAACCTGGAACCCAAAGACATATTATTTATAGAGCACAAAGGTAACAATGACTCCTTAAATGTTATGTATACCTTTTTTTTTTTTTTTTCAGTTCATTTATGAAAGAGGCAGTTTAGGCTTCTAAATTTTCTTGCATCTGTGCCATTAGTCTCCTTTTTGTTTTGGCAGTTCTGGTGATAGCAGCTTATTGTGTCTTTGATGGTACAGATAGAGAGGCTGTGAAAAATAAAATAAGGTTTACTTAATGAGCCCCTATTATGTGTAGGATACAATTCACAGAGAGATCATTACCTGGTGTGAAAAGGAATCTCTAATTGTGAAGGATGCTGTGCCATTGTTAGGAAGCCTTCTGCAAATAGCTATAGTTTTTAGGAGCCTTTTGCTCTTATGTCTCTAACCAGTACTATACATCCTAATCATATAGAGATTCTTTTCAAAATAGTAAGCCTGGACCACATTTGTAAAAGTCTGATTTGGTAGTTTTGGAATTGTGATCAGGCATATTTATTTTGAAAAATCTCCCTAGGCCTACGTATTTCTCAGACACACCACTGATGAAGAAGTAACATTTTATAATCTATCAAGTGGTAATTTAGTCAAAATAAAATTACCAAAATATCTATTTTAACGTATACATAAATTATGATTAATTTAAAGAATCTTAAACTCAGCCTCTCAAAAGAGTAATTAAAAAGTTAGATATTAAACTTCATTAAAGAGTCTGTGGATGCTTTAATAATTTTTAAAGGATAATTTAAGCCTGACTAACCAATAATGACATTTAGAGAGAATTTTCTCATTTTATGCAGGAAACATCTTAATATATTTGGATCACCTTTTATAAAAATGTATCATGTAAAAATGTCTATATATCATAATAGGGTGAAACTAATGTGCTTCTGAATGTTAGCTTATAAGAATTTTAAACCTTTTGGAGAATAACAAATGTGCTTTTCTCAAGTTTGATTTTTGTTTTGCTTTTAGAGTTCAGCAGTGCCTAAGACCTGGGTTTCAACAGATCACCTCTCCATTGTGTGGTAAGTTAATACATGTCTAACATTTTAGTAATTTGTTGTGGTCTTTTTTTCACATCATGCAATGATTGGTTTGTTAGCTTTCTTAGAACTTTATTCATAAACAAATAAATAACGCTAAGGAAGAAAGATTAACTTAAGAGCTTAGAACTCTAACCTTTTTTCTTGTCTTGGCTTGAACAAGGTTTCTTTGACAACTTATAAAATTATCTCCTGAAGAACCTGTAGCATCAGTCTCAAATGAAGCTAATGTCAAATACCAGAGTTTTAGAGTTTGTCCTAGTTGCACCTGTGGTAGGACTTTTTGAGCTCCTGGACAATGACCATACTACCTAATGCAGTAGTGCCTATTCATTAGGGAGCAGCACATGGGAAACTAAGTAGGCATTAGATTTATCCTTAATATAAATTTAAAAATAAGAATATGGGTCAAGAAATAGGCAGACCCTAGTATTTATCTCTATATGTTTTGGCTTAAAGATTTCTTTTAACCTTTCTCTAACAGTACAAACAGTAGTGTCTGCAAAAACCACAACAGTTCAGGCAAATCAAGATGGGATAGATGTGTGTCTGTAGCTAGGGTAGGTGATGAGATTTGGTGAAGAAAGAAGGACCCTGACAGTTCTGTCAAAACATAGGAAGATTTAATTTGACTTATTTTTATAGGTTTCAGCTTTAAGATATATGTTTAATAAGAATGATTTGTTAAATACTTTTTGAGTTTACAGCATTAAAAGAAATTCAGGTATTCCATTAAATAGTAGAATTCTGCATGTTTGGATCAAAAGCATGTTTTTAAAACAAGTTTCATTTGTAACACTTTGTTTTTTTAGGTGTAAACAATTGCAGTTGACTACAGTTCGAGCATTCTTTGATCTTATTGATGCTGATACTAAACAAGTATGTATTTTTAAACTAAAAATTGTTTCAATAAAGTAATTTTGCATTTGTTACAGAAATTTTGAATTTATTGCCTTTCTTTTTATTTTGATGAAAATAAAATAGAAGCCAATACCTTATCATTTTAATTAGTTCCAAATTGGAAATATCTTTTTGGTTCATAAAATGCAATGAGAATAAAAAAGTGAAAGGACTTTAAATTTTCCCCATTTTTCCTGTCCCTATGTAAAGTTTGATATATATCCTTCTAACTTTTTTTTTAACTTAAGAAAAATACTTCTTACAAGCTATTTTGTAATTTTTTCCCTAGTCATTATATATATCTTAGTGGACATTTTTTGAAGAGGTAGGCTCTTGCTATGCTGCCCAGGCTAGACTCAAATTTCTCATCTCAAGTGATCCTCCCACCTCAGCCTCCCAAGTTCATTAGACATTTTTGAACCATGTTTTTAAAAACATATCTTTAGCTTTCTGAGAAGATTAGAACATGTCCATTTATTGAGTATACCAAACCACTAGAACTTAAATTATGTACTTCTATAAGTTAAGCCTTCTCTATAATGAGATTTCATAGTATATTCTTCAAACTAGTGATTTTCCAAGTTCAATTAGCATAGCATATGGAAATCATAGTATCCTTTACAGAATATCACATTACTCTTTCGTCTCTTTCTTATCTGCTAGCAGATAAATAGTAGCAGGCATCAAGAATTTCAGCAAAATTCAGAGAGTTCAATCCATTAACTTTAAATTTTCTTTTCTGTGAGTTGGGAACAAATTGCCATTACTTATCTTAGCTTTTCACCTCAGGTCATCTTGTTCCATGGAAATAGGTTTCAGAATCATGGATCTGGCTTCTCCTTTTGGAGAAAAAAAAATTCCTTATATTTTAGGTAATCTTTTTTCATTATGGCAAAGTATTGCGGGTATTTTTAGAATCTTTCCCCTGAATGCTCCAGTTCTTTGAGAGACAAGTAAGGGTGGCCTCTTTCTTAATAGGTCTCTAGGTAATACTTCTCTTATTGGGGAAAGAACCTTTCCCCTGTAGGGTACTCTCTTGATGGGTAGGGAGAAGTGTCTATACTTTTTCTTTAATTCTTCAGAAAGCTTGTATAACCACTATTAGAATCATAGATACTTAACTCTCTCCTGAAGATCTAAATCATTTTGTGTTTTACCACTCTTTAAGCCACAAGATTCCATATTAAGTTAGCATATGTATTGAAGTAAATAAGCTTTATGGAGGTGACATTGTGAGTTGGTCAAAGAACACAAACATTTTTTGGTTTATTAACATTGTTTTAACTGTGAGGCTTAACTGTGGCAAAAATTTTAAGTCTGTGTGAGAGTATGCAACTAGATATAGTAATAGAATCAATTAAAATTGCAAGACTAGGTTTTACTTGAACTGACATTTGGTAGATTTAGGAAAAACCTTATTCTAACCAGTGAAGAACAGGAGTACCTTAGATCGGAATAATCCTAAAAAATTGGGCAAAAAAGTAATTTTAAGAAATAATAAAATTAGTTTTTTGCCCAATTTTTTTAGGATCATGTTTTTCCATTAATAAAATCATGTTTTTTCATTAATTCTCCTGAGAAAAGAAGTCTGATAATACTGGTATGCAATAAATTAGAATTCTAAATGCATAAATATTTTACTGACATACTTTAAAGGGCAAATGAGAAACTTGTTATAACTATACTGCTAAGAATCAAAATACAATACTGTTGCCAGGTGCAGTGGCTCACACCTATAATTCCAGCACTTTTGGAGGCCGAGATGAGAAGATCACTTGAGACCAGGAGGTCAAGACCAGCTTGGGCAACATAGCAAGATCCCATTTTTACAAAAAAATAAAAAAATTAGCCGTGTGTGATGGTGCATGCCTGTAGTCCTAGCTACTAAGGAAGCTGAGGCAAGGAGGAGTGCATGAGCCCAGGAGTCTGAGGTTACAGTGAAATATGATCATACCACTGGTCTCCAACTTGGGTGACAGAGTGAGACCCTGACACTTGAAAAAAAATAAATAATACCGTTTATGAAACTGAGTTCTATTTAACAAATTCATTATATATAATTGACTAAATACTAGAAAATAAAAACTTAGAGTGTGATTATTAACTCTCAAGAAGCATATAGTGTAGGAGGAAAGCAGAACATACATATAGGGAAACTATAACTCAAAGCCTAATTAGTCCCAAATATCGTGCTAAGGCAGAAATCAGAATTAGAGAGTAATTTCTGGTGGTTATAACATAAAAGTCATATCTACAATTTTGTGAATGGACAGATTGCCTAGAAGGTGAGTAAGGATGGTGGAATCCTGGCTTAAAGTTTTGGTAGATGGACTTACAGCTTTTGATTGATTACAAACAGATGAGGCTAATTAAAAAATTCAAACTAATGTACTATGAGACCAAGTTAATTGAATTGTAGAGATTCATTTGCATCAAAGAATATGAAAGTTCCACTGTCCTCCACTCTACTTGCACCATATATACAGAACTATATTTTGTGTACTGTGTTTTAAATGGGACATCAACAAACTTTATCCAGGGGGGGCAAGCAGGATGATGAAGGGACTAAAAGAGTTCCATGAAACACAGTTGATAGCTCTGTGAATTTGGGCAAATAAACAAATAAATAAATACAGTTGATATATTTGAAGTTGTTTAACTTACAGAAGAACTGTTGTATTTGGATAGGGATATAACAAAAGTCTTCCAATTTTTGAAGGACTGTCCCCCAATCTAAGATGTCAGAATAATGGGGAGTCATATATTTGCCCTAAAAAGGGTAGACCATTCTCGTGGAATATTCTGTCTTACAAATTGGAATGTACTGTCTCACAAAGTAGCAAATTAGAAATGTTCAAGCAAATGCTGGGCAACTTCCTAACAACTGGAAATGTTCAGTAGACTTAGTCCTCACTGTCATTTCTTTCTCATTATCTCCCTGTGTTGCCAAGAAAATAACTTACCCGTCAAGGCTTCATTAAACTAGCAAGTTGAATAGTGATAGATTCCAAATGGATTTTTATGCTAGTACACTTTTTTTTTTTTTTTTAGGGAGGGACTGATAAAAAGTTGCCAACTTTTTGTGCTAGGCTATTAAAAAAAGAAGCAGAAGGACAATAGAATAGAGTAATTCCAGGGAAGAACAGCTGGCAGTTTACATTTTCTCTAGTGACCAGTGTATTTTTTGTTGTGGGATTGGCACTGGCTTGAGTTTGGAAACTAATGTATTGGAATCACTAGACCAGAGAATCTCTTAAGTTCTATTCTGATTCTATACCTCTTTATAATGTTTTACTCTTAACTGTTACTTGAGAGGCACTGTTGCATGATAATTAAAGCATGGATTCTAGAGCCAGAATGCTTGGGTTTGGATCCCAACCCAGACTCATCATAGCTGTGTGACTTTGGGCAAGTTCCTTAGTTTCTCTGTGTGTTAGTTTCTTCATATTTAAAATGCAGATAAAATGGTTATTATCTCTTAGAGTTCTTGTGATTATTAAATAAGTTAGCATGTTCAGTGCTCAGAACAGTGCCCTGCTGAGTAAAGAAATGTTAACTCTTATCATTATTACTTGAAACAGTATTTCATTGAAGTATTACAGTAGATATAAAATAATATAGAATGTATCAATGTTCTTTCTAGATAACTCAAAATTCCAAGAAGAAATTGTCAGTTTTGAATCACCACTTTATAAGACATCCTGCAAAACATTTTGAGGAAAACCCAGCTATAATTTCTGACTTAACAGGTTGGTGGTAATAACACATTTTATGTGGCAGTTTTCACTATTCTAAATTTGTTATTAGCAGACAAACTGAAAACTATGATACTTCGAAGTATAGGTGATCCTGTTATATATTATTAATTTCCCTATGGTTGTGCTGGTGCTGATGTAATTCTTGGTTAGTAAGTTAACAAAGCAGAAAAGCAACTTGCGAGATGTTACTGATAAAAATTTTGTCCTGAAAATAACATGAGAAATAGAAATTTTTTAATTAAATGTCTCTATTCTCCTGAAAGTCACATAAAGTAAGTACTGTATCATTCTTGAGTCCTTTCATTTTCTCAATTATCAGTTATTCTTTTCTTATTTTTGGTTACCAGCATATCTTTTGCTGGCAGATTTTGCTTTTAAATAAAGCAAATTATCCCTCTTAAACTCTACTTAATTATATGTCTTGTTTGGGAAATGAAATATTCTTTCCTTCTGTTGATAATTTCTAGAATTAAAGACACTAAATAGATTTATAATGCTTTACTTGATATGAATGCTTGTGGTAATGAGCATATAAAAAACATGTTACTAGATTTTCTGTTTTCACACAGCCAATGTTCAGGTAACCATGTATTTATTTCAATTGAGAAGTATTTCACCAGAATATGTTAAAAAGAAAGATGATTTAATATAAAAACAGAACAGAGCAAATAAATTAATTTTCTTTACCTTAAGCAACATCTATGTGGGTTCCAGTAAAAGTATCCAAATGGACCTATGTGGCTTATAATGTAAGTATTCCACCAATGTATTTCTTTTACTGTTTTAAGAAACATTTTGGTATTTATTTTTAAAAATTAAAGACTTTAAAAAAAGGTAACTATACAAGTTTCCCATAATTTAATAATAACTCTTTAATAATAAATATTTAGTCAGTATTCAGTTTTACAGTTTTATCAGAAATATATCTCTTTTTTCTGTTTTGTTTTTCAATTTGTTTAAATCAGGATCCAAACAAGACCTACACATTGTTATTAATTGATATGTCTGTTGTTCCTCTTTAATCTAGAATACTTTTTCTACCCTTTTTTTCCCTTGAAATTTGTTTGTTGAAAAAACAGTCATGATTTTGCTGACTTTATTCCTATAGTCATTCAACATATTCCTTTACATATTCTTTCCCTATGATTTAGTAGTTGGATCTAAATGCTTATCCAGATTCAGATTTTTGTTTTGTTTTTGTTTTTACTAGACTTTTTTTTGTGTTGTTAGCAGCTGTTGATAAAGAATGCATGGAGTCATTAGTTCATTTAGGAGGATGCAAAAATGATGTAACTTTAATTTTACTATTCCTTCTTCATTTATTAACTGGAATACTATATAGAAAAGTTTCCTCTAAAGTGGATCAAATCATAAAGGAAAAGAATGATAATTGCTTGGATCTTTAATCTTGTATCTACTGATTATCAGAATAGTGAGTTGATTCACAAGCATCCTTCATTAGTGACCATTAGAAGTTTCTTCCCACTATTATTATGAACTCATGGACATATATTTGAGTTTTAGTCCATTGATACTAAAATTGTTCTATGTTTGACTAGTGAAACACTTTTAAAGTTTGGCTCCTGAGTCTTACTGATACAGCTTTTTAGTTGCCTTTAGTAGTTTACTCACTCACTGTCTTGTTCACAGTATGACAAGATACTTTATCTCATTTTGTACATTTCCTGCCCCAGACTTTGAATCAGCTATTTCTCTAAGGAACTATTTCTTTAATTTGAGAAATGGCATTTTAAAACCATAATCTGACATTAGAAATGTTTATGGCTGTTGGGTTGGGATTTGTAAGCCTTTTCAGTGGCCATAGCTAAGAAATGTATTTTATCTTAACTAAAAGGCCAAAAACACAATTAAAAAACCCCAGCATCATACAAATCCAGAACAAATTCAGGACTGCTAAGTTTATACCTAATCTCTCTATCTTAACCTCTGTGTCTTCTTCCTCCCACTCATAGAGTATTGGTTCTCAACAATGGCAAGAATGATAGAATAGTTACTCATTTGTTTTATGTAGATTTTGAATGATGAAATTATCTGCTCTTATTATAGCTATATTGAATATCTTTTTCTTTTTTTAGGAATCGGATAAGATATATTTTACATTTCCTCTTGCAAATCATAGAAAAATCCACACTCATGTCTATTGTCAGAGCACTATGCTGGTAAGATAATTGGTACATTTTATGTAAACCTAAAGGCTAACTATTGTTTATTTTTCAAATTCTAATATCTAATAGTAGACTGAGTTACGAACTATTATTATTAAAATCTAAGTAGTTGAAAAATATTTGGAATAGTGTTTTGATTGAAAAATATTAATAAAAAATTTTATATAACTGATAACATGCTATTAAATTGTACCTTTGATTCTAGTTTAGAATCCACCCTGTTTTTCTGCTTTATTTTTACTATGTTTAGGATAAAGGAAATGGATATAAAACCCTTTTAATTCTAAAATTCTAGTACTATAAAGAATAGGTTTATTTAAGCACAAAAGTGAATCTTATTTTTCTATTGGCTGCCATACTAAAACTTAGAGAATATTTATAAAAATATTTATAAAAAAATTCTCTAAGATAGTAAAGTAACTGTTACAGTGTTATCTAGATTTACTGTATCAGAGTAATGATTTTGTTTGTGTTTCTTTTAATAAGAACCTACTATATTAGCCATTATTAAATAAAAGGTGCTGTAGTATGCTTTTGGTATAATAGTAGGAATGAGTGGTTAAGTAGTATTTTCATGAATTATCAACATTTCTTACTTTGAGAAATTTTTCCCAATTTAGGTTCTTTTTCCTACATTCTGAATTATTTTGGCATGTCTCAAGAGTCTTTATGTTTGCATCTTTTATAATTTAAATTCCTACTTCTGCTTTTTGTTGGGTGACTTTTGTTTTTTTAGAACCAAGATCTAGTATATCACTTTGGTGGAAGTTATACTTTGGTGGCTGCCATATATAGTGAAGTCTTTTTAAAAGATGGTAGGCAGACAGTGTGGCCTAGGTGCTAATGAATATAACATTTTAGTGGAATTTCCAAAGTTTTGCATCTTTCACAGAGACTAGCATCTCTCAGTCTAAAATCTTGATGGGCACTTTATCCTAGGAGAATCTGGCCCTGAGAGTAATGAATATCTACACTCACTTAATACTAAATTTCAAATCAGAATATCAGTATTATATGGAGAAAAATGCCTGCTAAGAGCAAATTATCTATCTGGCTGTTTGGAAGATCCTTTTTCTGCATATAACATACATGGATATTAACTAGCATAAAGTCATGAATTTTTAAAAATCATTTCAATTTTTATTACAGAAGTTTTCAAGCATATATAAAAGCAGAGAGAAAATAAAACAATGAATTCTTTTGTAACCAACACATGGCTTTAACAATTATCAACATTCTGTCATTCTTCATTTATTCCTTCCCTCTTTTTTTTTTTTTAATAGGAATAGGGTCTTACTCTGTTGCCAAGGGTGGAGTGCAGTGATGCAGTCATAGCTCACTACAACCTTGGACTTCTGGGCTCAAGTGATCCTTCTGCCTCAGCCTCCTGAGTAGCTGGAATTATAGGTGTGCCCCACCATGCCCAGCTAATTAAAAACAATTTTTCTATAGAGACTGGGTCTCGTTATGTTGCCCAGGTTGGTCTCAAACTCCTGGCCTCAAGTGATCTTCCTGCCTGAGCCTCCCAAAAGTGCTGAGATTACAGGCATGAGCCACTGTTCTGGCTGTTTCTACCTTTTTGACTTTAAAGAAAATTCCAGGCATCTTATCATTTCATTTATAGATACTTCAATGTTTTTCTATCAGATAAGGATTTTACACATTACCATAATACTATTATTTCATCTAACCAAATTAATACTAATTCCTTAATAACCCAGTCTATGTTTAGTTTTCCCCAGTTCACTTAAATTTTAAGTTTATTTGAATCAGGACCCAAGCAAAGTATATGCATTGCCTCTGGTTCATGGATCATAAGTCTCTTTTATAATAACCCCCTGCCCTACCCGCCCCACATGACACTATTATTCAAAAAAGTACATTATATACTCTACAGAATTTCCCACATTCTGGGTTTAGCTGATTGTAATCTTGTGGTATCTTTTAATATATATTTCTGTCCCCTCTGTTTTCTGTAAACTGGTAGTTAGAGCTAGAATCTTGATTAGATTTAGATTAATTTTTTGTGGTAATAACATTTTATAAGTAGATTTGTGTACCTCCTATTTCATCATATCAGGAGGTACATAATATTTGGTTTTACCACTTTTAGTGACATACAGGCATCAGGGGGCATAGTAGTATCAGCATGATCCATTCATTATAAAATTCATAAATCTTTTACCTAATGATTTTAGTAGCTGTTAAAGGCATTACTTTTTACTCTAAGTAGAATTTTTTGACAACTATAAATTTTTGATCAGTAGCATTTTTTTCTGATATAGTTTAGGAGTTCTGATATAGTTTAGGAGTTTTTCTGATATAGTTTAGGAGTTTAGTTAGGAATTCCTCTTCTAAGGCTTTAGATATAATTCTTGTAATTAGTTGAGTTAGGAGTATTTTCTAGATAAGTTGGAATTGTTCTTTTGACAGATAGGTTATATCAGCATGGTGTTTTATGGTGGGCTTGAGTAATATATGTTCAGTCCATTGATGACTGAGTCAGAATTCTCTATATACTGAAGTAAGTAGTGTGGCATATTGGCAGCTTTCATAATGAGGGCTACCTTTGAGGATAGGTCCCATTAGTAGCTACAAAAACCCATTACAGCAGTGGGTTGGATCTTTAGAGGCTGCTAGCTTTTCTTTGTCTGGGCTATGCAGATCTGTTTTGTTATCTTGCTTTAGTTATAATGTCACATTGTGGGAAGCATAAGTAACCAATACAGAACATACAAGTATTTTGCCTGCAGGGAAATATCATATTGTTTTTTGTTTAATTTCTATCAACTTCCTTTTTTATATTCTTGACAAATTTCTTACAATTTTATGTAAGCTAAATGAGAGCCGGGACTATGTGTGCCTAATTATTTTGCCTGAGGGCTTGCCATATAATTCCTTGGCCCAAGAATAGACTTTGTAAAAATTATTTGAATAAAAGGATTGATTCTCATTGTCCTACCTGTAATTCTAAGGACAAATGTATATAGCTGACGGAGCACTGCTTCTCATTGTCTTATGTCCTGGTAGGATTTCAGTAGTTGTATCATATCTTGGAACATTATTCTTCCTTAAAAGTTGGAGTGCAGATCTTAGGTTGCACTGCTCTTAAATGACTAAGACTGAATACAGATTGTTGTTAAAATAACAGTCATCTCTGTAGCATTCCTATCCTGTGCGATAAAGTATTAATAATAACTAGCTTTAGTTTTGAGCCCTTGGAATTGTGCTTCAGTTCAAAAACATTCTTGGTTGTATAGGAGTTATTTGCTGGCAATGAAATGGGACCTCAAGTGATAAAGTAAAAAGCTGTACATAGGTTGTTATTGTTAATTGCTTGGCACTGTATTTTATTTGTTTAAAAGTCTACTTCTGGTTGTTCATTATTCTATTTGTTCAAATATAGGTTACTTACTGTGTAACCATTTAATTAAAGTATGAACATTACTGAATTCTTTGAAAGTTTTGGTTCAACAACTAGAAATGATTAGGCAATATGCTGTAGAAAGATACCCATCAGGTCACTCTTTCTCATACTGCTGCTCTGGATTAACTTCTTACCTGTCTATGTTGACATTAGACTTTTTTTTTTTTGGTCTGTCCTTGATTTATTTGACTTTTGAGACCATCTTGGATATGTTTCTCAATAAGGTGCTATTTTTATGTTTCCCTTGCTGCTACTCATCCTATCTCTTAACAATAAAGTGTTGATGATGCTTGTTTTATATGATTATTTTCTACATTTAATGTGTTTTGTTATTAATAAACAGGATACAAATAGTTGGATTTTTGGCTGCATAAACAGCACTTCTATGTGGTAAGTCCTTTGAACCCACTGCCTTCTATTGTTCATTTTTCTAAAATAGACAATACTAAGAAATCACACTTCTAGAATAGCTTCATGCATTCTTATACTAATTTTGATGCTATTGTATATTAAATTATAGTATTGCATTTAGAATGAAATGGAAAGAAAATGAATATACTAGTAATTTTTACAAACATTGAAAGTAGGAAAATTTTTTTGTTGCCAAGGGAACTGTGTGGACAGTGTTTAGGATTAGATTTATTAGACTTTGGTTCATTTGTAACTCTCTCCACTTGGTCTGTAGATGGTTGATGGCTTCTTTTTCCCCTGAAACTTATTTATAATTTATAATGCTTCAATATATTTGTCCTTTAATTATATTTTCATATTTATTTCAAAGCCGGCAAGGGGTTGATTTATCATGGAAAGCTGAACTGCTGCCAACAATTAAGGTAAATTATGGCTTTAGAATTTTAATACTCAGGTGAAAAAATACTTGAGCCTATAGACATTATAGAATATGCTCTTTTATTAATTTAACAAGGTGTTAAATAAACTTGAGATTTGCTAACCTACATTTTAGAAATATTTAAGTATTTAAGTATACATTTGATAGAGAATAACATGCAATTAGTGGGGTTTTTTTACTCAGAGATGAAAAACTATAAATTAATAATCCTCTAAATCATCATACCAAAAGAGCTGGATGAATTTTTAAAGTTAAGTTTGAGGATATATTATAATGGTCTGTCTTAAAATATAAGGTGAATAGTATACTGAAAATTCATTTGGAGAGGAAGAGCCTGCAGTTGGGAAGTGGGCACCTCAAAAGAGACATGAAGTAATTTTACATATGAACTTCAACATCACCTTGTGGTCAAGCACTTGAATAACAACTTTATCTAGTACTTTTGGGGAGATAAATCACAATAGGGATATATTTAATAATTGTTAGTGATTTGCTTACACAACTTCAGTAGATCAGCAAGTCATTTATAAAAGGCTATTTTGTGTAGTCTCAAAATCTATTGCTGAAAAGCAAAATAATTCTAAAATTTGATGAAAATATCTGTTCTAATTTCCAAATTATATTTATTATATCTAGTAATCTTATGCCAGGGTTGATAGTTTTTAGTTTTCAAGTAAATCTATACTTTAAAAAATGTATTTTTTATAATGAATCCTAGACTCATTGACTTGAAAGTGAAATTATCTGGTCAGTCCCAGTCATCTCTCAATTAACTCTAATTAAGTTAATTTTGCTCATGAATATTTGTATTTATTTGTACATATTGTCAACTCTATACTAAACTAACAGAGAGAAACTTAGCCTGACAGAGTCAGAAATGGTGACAGAAGGAATAATTGCAGGTCACTTAACTTGACTTTGGAATGGTTGCAATTTTTTTCCTGTTACCTTGCTCCGTCTTATATTGTGCACATTCATTCATGTAGCTTTGTATTTATCAAACAAATATCATAGTAAAGTAAGTTGGCTCGTGAATATTTTTAAGGTCTCGCACTGGTTCCATTCTAAGTAAAACAAATAACAAAAGTATTAGAATATGCTTACTGACCAGTAATTCATAAGGTATACTAAACATTTCCTTGAATTTGTATAATAATTTGGATATTCTTTCCAGCCTATAATTTAAGAGTTTGGAAGAAGTAAATAATTAAAAATCTGATAAAATGTACTGTGCTCCCATGTTTTAAAAGGTATAAAATCCTTAGATTATTTTTTTTTAATCTCCAGAGATTAAATAATGTCTTCATCAAGCTCTAGGTTCCTATGTTGTTTGTTCCAAGTATATGAAACAGCTGGCTAAAATAGCAGGAGAATAAGCTATTTAAGCTGCTTGCTTTTTATGGTGAATGCTGAAAGAGAGGTTAGAAAACAAGGATTATAACATTCTGCAATCTTAGGTGTTCTCAGTTTAAGAGGTTTGTAATTATTAAATATAAATATACTTTTTCATTATAATGAAAATGAAAATTTTATATAATGTGTGTTAGCCATTTATATAAACAACACATAAACTTATTTTACCATGAAATTGAAGGGATGCTTAAAGGGGAAAAATTTTATAGGTTTTATTCATGTTAGTATCATCTCAAGAAAAGTAATGTCAAATGAGAATTTCATTACTTTTAGACATTTCTACTGACTGAACTATTAATAAATAGATGGAACCCTTCATCATAGCATATATATATATTCAACACTTTGCCATTGTTGAGAATAAATATTGAGAAGTTATTAAAGTTGATAACTACACAGAATATCCAAGTTCTTCCTAATTAATTTATCTTTCATACTATCTACCATTTGTCTGGTCAATATCAGCTGCCTGTAGTTGTGGCTTATGTGGCCCTTTAATTTACATTAGAACATAAGAGTCTGTTGCAGAGACTTTGCTAAGTTGGGGCGAACCCAGGAGTTTATCTTTAATAAGCACTCTTACCATTCCCACATGAATCTGGTCAGGTTGTTAAAGGACCACTCATTAATGGTTTTTTTTTTGTTTGTTTTTTTTTGAGACAGAGTCTCACTTTGTTGGCCAGGCTAGAGTGAGTGCAGTGGCATCAGCCTAGCTCACAGCAACCTCAATCTCCTGGGCTCAAGCGATCCTACTGCCTTAGCCTCCGGAGTAGCTGGGACAACAGGCATGCGCCACCATGCCCGGCTAATTTTTTGTATATATATTTTTAGTTGGTCAATTAATTTCTTTCTATTTTTAGTAGAGATGGGGTCTCGCTCTGGCTGGTTTCAAACTCCTGACCTTGAGCAATCCGCCCGCCTCGGCCTCCCAGAGTGCTAGGATTACAGGCGTGAGCCAGCACACCCAGCCCTCATTAATGGTTTTTTCACTTCAGCACCTCTGTCCTGCTTGCTTCCAGCGAAGATTGGGGAAAGCTAATGTCCATAGAAAGTTCTTAATGCAAGCATATTTTTACAACATATAACTCCTCCCACCCCACATCTATTTCTAGAACAAAACTGAATTAAAAACTGATTTTTTGGCTTGGCTTTTCATTAAATTGACCAGTCTTCTACCAATTCCTTCCTCAAAATATGAACTATAGGATCTAGTCTTCATTTTGAGGAAGAATAGTTGTTCACTTGGTAAGGTGCATTATTTAGCTGTAGTGTGTCTTTTTCATTTACTAAATAAATCCCAGGGGATGATGTTAATATATCTCCTTAGCCAGCAACTCTTCACTACTTGGGCTAAATCAGAACCATGTGAGATTAAATTTCAACTCTTTCATCATATTTAGTATCCATTCATTCATCAGCTATCGGATGCTCTTTGTTATATACTGCCAAAATAAATGTGGAAATAACACTGTAGTGCTATATGTAGCAAATAGCCAAATTATAAAAAGAAAGACACCAAATCTGGAAATAATTATATAAAATAATTAAATTTAATGTTTAAATGACATTTATTTTACATAAAGGGATATTTCAAGGAATATTTTTGGCAGTCCATATTTAACATAATTATTAGGAATTTGACTTTCAGCAGGATTATTGACCTGGAAATGTAAACATGAGCATTTTATGAAGTACAGAACATAAATTTGAAATCTGCTTTTTTAAATAACTAATTAAATAAGAAATGTGTTTGTAGTTTATTCTTCTTTTAACCTGCATTAAGTGCTTTGTATTCTAAGAAATAAAAGTAGCTTTTTATCTTTGTCTTTTTTTTTAGTTTCTGATGTTAAGACTTCAAGACTATCCATCTTTGTCTCATCTTGTTGTCTATGTACCGTCTATTCATGGAAGTAAGGTAACAATTAGATTAAGATGTTATCAGAATGTTTTGGGGATACTCATGGTAAACTTTTTTTTTTAATGAGTTCTTCTGCATAGGGCTTATCTAAAACAATGCCCAGTTTGGTGATCCATCTAAGACTATTAAATTATTAGGATCATCTGCTCCAACTTGAACTAAGCAGAATAAACCCAAGTCCCTTTGTTCCAAGTAAGAACTGGTTCCAGCTTATCTATTAGTTTTTCAAAATCTATTAATTACTAGGTACCCCTTTATGTACAAGGTTATCTTCCAGGAATTATAGGAGGCATACCAGTGAGGAAGACATGAACCCTGTTGTTAGAAAGCTACATACTGTTGGGTAGAGGGAGATAAATATATTTGGGTACAGAAGGAAGAGTGAGAAAAAAGAAGTACCCAAATATATATACCCAAATCAGAATATAGCAAGTAAATGAAAAATGTAAAAGGGGGAGATATCTCTAATTGATGGAATCAATAATGGCTTTATAATGAGGTGATAGTTAAAATGGCCTTAAAGTGGGCATAGTGGCAAGTGCCTGTAGTCCCAGCTACTCAGGAGACTGAGGCAGGAGGATTGCTTGTGTCCAGGAGTTCTGAGGCTGTAGTGTGCAATGATTGTGCCTGTGAATAGCCACAGCACTCCAGCCTGGATAACATAATGAGACCTTGTCTCTTAAAAAAAAAGAAAAGAAAGGAAATAAAATGGCCTTAAAGGATAGTAAAAATTTTTATAGGTAGAATGAACATTTTAGATCTGTGCTATAAATATGGGAATCACTAGCACATGTGACTATTTCTATTTAAATTAGTTAAAATTAAATAAAATTTAAAATCAGTCCCTTAGTTGTACTAGCCACATTCCAGATGCTCAATAGTAATATCATTGCCACAAGTTAAATGGATAGCATTGTTTAGATAAAGAAACAGAGTAATGCATGGGGTATATTAAGAAAATAGTGAATAAGTAAATAATAATTTTAAAAGGATAGCCACCACAAGTAAAATAGTAGTGGAAGAAAAGTCTGGAAAAGTAGTACATGGCCATATTGTAGAGTCCTTGATTAAAGAATTCAGGACTTTATAGAATTCAGGAGTCAGTAGGATGCCCTAAGGTTTTTCACCTTAGTAGTAATGGGATCAGAGATAATTTATTCAAGAAGATTCATCTATGGTGTAGGATGGGTCAGAAACAGAAAGACTAAGTACTTCATAAGGGGTTTTGAGGGATTGTATAGGTTGAGGATCTCCTAATCCAAAAATCCAAAATCTGAAATTTTTGGAGTGCTAACTTGACGCCACAAGTGGAAAATTCCACCCCTGACCTCAGGTGGTGAGCTATAGTCAAAACACAGTCAAAACTTTGTTTCATGCACAAAATTATTTAAATTATCATCAGGCTATGTGTGTGAGGTATATATGAAACATAAATGAATTTCATGTTTAGACTTGGATTTCATCTCCAAGAAAACATTATTTATATACAGGCATTCCAAAATATAAAATACTTCCGATCCAAAGCATTTTGGGCAAGGGATACTTAGCTTGTACTGGGGAAGTGGGAGTGTAAATAAAAGGATGGTGACTCTGAGAGAATTAGTGGGGAAGAAAGAAGCTGGAGGTAAAAGGCCCATTGTATTCCCCTTTATTTCACCCAGCGAACTCATCCTTCAAGATCTAACATAAGTGTTCCTCTTTTCCTTTTCCAGACTCTTCCAATAATCTTTTATTTACTCCTATGATACTTTGTTTATAACTTCTTTGAGAAATTTATTACATTAAATTATAATTTATTTATTTATGTCCCTAGTACCATCACCATATTGAGAACTCTTTGAGAATAATGACCAGATAGGTTTTATTCTACTTTGCATTCTTAACTTTTAGTGACTGTCACATAAATACTAAAAAAAGGTTTCTTGAATGAGAAAGTTGATGAGATGTGTGGCCAAAATAATTAGGAAAATTTGAAAGAAACAGAGAAAGAAAAAGGGGGATGTAGTTGGGAGTCATCTCAAAAGACTAAGTCTCACAAGTACCTTATAATGGATTCATTGTTTTGTTTTGCTTAGCTCAAGTGAGAGGTAATTCAGCATCTTCAATACTAAAAGCTCTCTTTAAGGGTTTTTCTGGCAGGTAAGTTGGTTTTGAATGAATCTAACATTTTTCCCAAACTTGAAAAGGCCCTCTTTGGTTATTCCAAGAAATTAATGAGCCTTTCTGCAAATAGACTGTATTAGCAGCCTAATAAATATATAATATGTCTTAATGCTCTTTGGAAAATAAGTTTGCTGATTCTACTGTTAGACAACTCTATCTCACTAGAATGAAAACTTAAGTGTTTCATAACTTTTGCATGTCTATCTATAGTCCATCATCAGAAGTCGTATATTCAGATACCCAGTGTAAAATAAATTGAGTCAACTGATCTTTTTATTTTTATTTTATTTTGTTATTATTATTATTTTTTGAGACAGACTCTTGCTCTGTTGCCCTGGGTAAGAGTGCAGTGACATCATCATAGCTCACTGCAACCTCAAACTCCTGGACTCAAGCAATTCTTTTGCTTTAGCCTCTCAAGTAGCTAGGACTACAGGCATGTGCCAAAATACTCGGCTAATTCTATTTTTAGTAGAGACAGCGTCTTGCTCTTGCTCAGGCTGGTCTTGAACTCCTGAGCTCAAGCAATACTCCCATTCCAGCCTCCCAGAGTGCTAGGATTACAGGCATGAGCCACTGTGTCTGGCCTCAACTGATACATTAATGTATTTTTGGAAATGCAAATATGAAATTATCTGTTTTTTATTGATGACAGAAAACAAAATAATTACAGCCATTACAAATTTACTTACCTTGGATGTTTTAGACACATACCTTTGAATTTTCTCTTTCATGGGTAGGGAATTACTCAATTATGAAAAACTAAAGGTATAGCCAAATTTTTAAAGCAATAATAAAATTCTATTATTTTAAATAACTGTACAAAATGATGTAAATTGCTTTTAAAAACTGCTTCCCTGTCTCTGGTAAAGGCCCACCAGAAAGTACTTTGTAAAAATGTAATGAATAGTCCTGTTCAATAAGTCATTTCTCTAATCTTTTAACAGCTATTTTCTGTAATGAAAATATCTATGTTCTTTGCTTTGTAAGTAAAGAGGGAAAAATAAAAGCAAAACTTTTTAACAAGTTTTTCCTTTTATTCCCCCATGTGTGTACTAATAGCAATTTCTCTCATCTGTTTTTCACTTTCAAAAACAATCAGAAATTTACCCAAGAGGCAAGCGAAGTAACACTGCTTCGAATGTATCCAAGCTGTAGTTGTGGGTAAAGGCTAGGATAGGTGCCACTGCAAACTACTTGCTAACTACAATTAGGCATCAGATTATTTATTTCTTCAGCTCTTCAAAATAATCTTATTGCACAGTGGAGATTATTTTAATGAAATTGTCCCTTTACCAGAAACAATTCTTTTTGCAGATAACCGAGAGCAAATTTCTTACACATTTGTAGAAATGTTACTAAAAAAGAAATGTTGTTGCTGAAAAATTGTAATGGTGTAGATGTCACATTATGGGTTTACATTTTTGTTTTTATATTTTTTGGTTTACATTTTTGAAAAGCATTTTTCTTCATATGTAGTAAACCTTTTTCCATTTATTATAACTATTTAACATAAAATAATCTTACATAAATAACATTAGCCATCTATTGATGAATGGCAGTATGTTTCCAAAAACCTTGAGTATAAATAAGAAATGAAGGATTTTTTAAAAAGATATGTAACCAAATCACATTTTCCTTTTGACGTGAAAGTATTCAGAAATGTATTATCTAAACCCTTAATCTTGAATTTGCCTTGGCTCTTAATGCTTTGATTCATCCTTTAATGTCCTTCTACAAATGCCTAAAGTAACTATAAAAAAAACTTTGCTATGAATCTTTTCTTATAGAAATGACCCTCTAATAATTTATCTATTTAATTAAGTTAAGCTTGTTTATTGTTTTCTCAGCATAGCATCTCATCTTGAGGAATTCTTGCCATTTAAGTATAGCCGGAGTTATAGTGTCATAGATGATACTTTCTCCAAAGCTAAGGTTTATAGACTTTTATTTTCCATTCAAATATCAAGTGAAGATATTTTACTATAAATTTTATTTTTTCTAATAATCAAATGTTTTATATTTTAGTTTGTTGTAGATTGCGAATTCTTTAAAAAAGAGAAAAGATCCATACAGCTTCCTGTAACTCATCTTTTTTCCTTTGGTAAGTATTTTTTTTTTTTGGAAATCTTAAGAATTGCTTTTATTTTTAATGGAATACTGATTTATTTTGCCAGTGAGTTGCAATGAAGCAGATCCTTGTGATGTTAAATATTGTATATTTCAAGTGTAATTTGTGGAATAACTATATGATATGGTTCAGAGGTTTCATTCTCATTTAATACTGGGCCAGCAGTCATATTCTGAAAAGAGAACTTTAAAAGAAATTTCTCCATAATCACATATATTTGCAGATAACTGTGAGTGTGTTTTTATCCTAAATATTGACCTTTTTTATAAATTTTACTATAGACTATAAATTCCTATCTGCCTTAGGAAGGTTTCAGGATTTCTCTAAATATTCTCTTATACTTATATTTCTCTAAATATTCTCTTATATTTTGAAATAATTTTAGACTTATAGAAAAGCCACAAAAGTGTAGAGTTCCTGTATATCTTTCACCCATCTTTCCCTAATGCTGACCTCCTCTATAAACATAATACAGTTTTTAAAACTAAGAAATTAGCATTGGTACAATACAATTAACTACAGACTTTAATTTTCACCAGTTTTTCCACTGATATCCTTCTCCTGTTTCCCACGTTACATTTAATTGTCATGTTTCTGGCTGGGTGCAGTGGCTCACATCTCTAATGCTAGCACTCTGGGAGGCTGAGGCGGGAGGATCTCTTCAGGTCATGAGTTTGAGGCCAGCCTGAGCGAGTGTGAGACCCCATCTCCACTAAAAAGAAAAAAAATTAGCTGGGCAACTAAAAATAGAAAAAATTAGTCATGCCTGGTGGTGCTCGCCTGTAGTCTCAGCTACTTGGGAGGCTAAGGTAGGAGGATTGCTTGAGCCCAGGACTTTGAGGTTGCTATGAGCTAGGCTGACACTACAGCACTCTATCCTGGGCAACAGAGCAAGACTCTGTCTCAAAAAATAAATAAATAAAAGAAGTGTCATGTTTCCTTAGTCTCCTGTAATCTGTAACAGTTCCTCAACCTTTTCCTGGTTTTTATACCTTTAAAACCTTTAAAGACTTCTGGCCAGTTATTTTGTAGAATCCCTCTCAGTTTGGATTTGTCTAATGCTTTTTTATGATTAGATTGAGATTATGCATTTTTGCCAAAAATACCACAGAAGCGTTGTGCATTTCTCAGTATATCAGAGTATACGTGATGTTGATATCTCTAATTACTAATGTTACCTTGATCTCAGTTGAGATGGTACCTGCCAGGTTTCTCCCCTGTAGTGTTACTGCTTTCCTTTTTGTAATTAATAAATATCTTGGGTGAGATACTTTGAGGATATGAAAAATATCCTGATTTTCTTCAAAATAACCCACTAGTTTTAACATCCATTGGTTCATCTAGTCTTTAGCAAGTATTACTCTTGTATTCTACATTTATTGAAATTCTTCCTGAGGTACATTTGTCTTTTCTCCTTGTTTGTTTACTTATTCAATTGTTATTTATGTCAGTATGGACTCAGAGATATTTATTTTCTTCATTGGGTTATAATCCATTATTATATTTTTTTGGTTAAGTAGTTCCAGCTTTGGATGTTGAGAGCCCTTTTAGGTTGGCTCCTGTGCTCTTTTGGTATGCACCATCCTTTAAATACATATTTTATATTCCATTGTGGAAAGAATCTGTGTTACTTGAGAAAACTTCCTTTAAGGTTTTTATCCCTCCTCCTATCCCTTCTTTTTGGTAAAAACTCTGAATAATACAGAAATGACAACTCTGAATCATTGAAGGTAGCAAGCTTGTAAATAAAAGATCTACTAAGAAAGCATACTTTTCTGAAATTGTGACCTTTTAAAAACACATAGAAATATGATTGGAAGTCATAAGTATGCTTTGTCCAGAGTTTATTGCAGAAGGATTGGATTTTTAGGAGTTTAGTCTTCCACATCTGAAGTGAAAATCTATAAACTGTTTTTTAAAATCAAAAGCCTGTTGGCATCATTTTAATGTTAAGCAATCAGGACATATTTTAAAGTTCTTTAATGTTCTCAGTAATACTTTTAATTCATTAGGATTGTCTTCAAGAAAAGTTGTGTTAAATACAAGTGGCCTGTACTACAATATAGAGCTTCTGAACTTTGGACAGGTAATTATTATCCTCTTATAACAAGAAGGATTTGATTTTACTTTACTGTTTAGTTAAATAAACAAATAAACTTTTGTTTTTTGTTTTTGTGGTTGACCTCTATTAGATATACCAAGCTTTTAAAATCAACGTGGTAAGCAAGTGCTCAGCAGTCAAAGGTAAATAAATGTATTTTCTGAAAAATATATAGGAGATAATATTGTTATTTCAAGGAATCAGTAGTTCTTCACTTGTATTTTCTATAATACTTATTCTTTCATATATTTTTATGTGAAGTAAACTGTAATATATAATAGAAAATATATTTATATTTCCAAGAGATTTGACATAGACCCTTTCTTAACAGTAAAGCATCTTCATCTATTTCAGTTTAAATAGCCATATTTTTAAAATACTACATATCTTTGTTTTATTATAGTAGTAATTCAAATTTAGCTGTTTAATATTTTTCTAGTTTCTTTATACTGCCCATATGTTCTAATATCTTTTGTAAATCTAATTAAATCATTATTCAGTAATTCTCTTTAATTTTTATCATGTGATATAACCCTTACCGATTATTTTTTTATGAAATGGGCAACTGTATAATTAGGTATTGTAGTAGCTTATGTAACATTTAGGGTAATGGTTAGTAATACATGTTTCTTTTATGTTTTAACAGAAGAAATAACTAGTATCTATAAACTTCACATTCCCTGGTCTTATGAAGATTCACTAACCATTGCACAGTAAGTATAAGAAAGAATTTACTTTAACGTTGGTGTTTTTAAAGAATAGATATTCTGCTTAGTTTATTTAAATCATATGAATTATTAAACTGCCTCAGTAAAATGTAGGTATCCTTTGTGTAGTTTTGTGCCCTTAATATATAATATTTGTATTAATATTGAATTATATATAACTTAGACATTACTTGCTTGAAACATGAACTACCTTCCACCCTCTTTCCCAACTCTTGTGTCCTAGAGTGGGCATTCAAACAATTGTGTTCTATCTGGAAAAGTGTCCATCCACAATGTGTCTGGCATCTAGTTTCCTCTATGTTATTTCATTGTATTGTGCTGAGGATTGACTTAGCCATGGCTCTTTACCAGCATTTTGTATTTGAGAATTGATACTTAAGTTGTCTCTTCAGGGCTCCATCCTCCACAGAAATTTCCCTGAAGCTCCATATTGCTCAACCAGAAAATGACAGCCATGTGGCATTATTAAAAATGTACACATCATCAGACTGTCGGTATGAGGTGAGTTGTATGTTTGCTTAATCTTCAAGATTTAGTTATAGAATAAGCTAGAAATATTTTTTTTACATCAGTCTCAGATATATGGTGATGTGGAAGCCAATAAATATAAGAAGTAAGCATTTAAAATATCTTAAATATTCTCCATTTTGCCTATTAGCACCACCTCAGTATTTCCTTAGCTGGACCACTTGAAATGTACACATCTTAATAAATAATAGAAAATAAAACAAAAATCAAGACTGCATTTTAACCTTCTAAATTTGGAAGCCTACAGTCCAGAATCATCTGCAAATTAAAGAATATCATGAAATCAGCTGACATGGCTTTCCTGCAGTGATTGACAGAATGCTTATTGGTTTACAGCTCTACTGGGTTAACTTAAGGATATTCTTTCCCTTTCACTAATTATTTTAAGCTCTGTTAGTCATTAATATGTGTGATTTAGTGGCTGTTGTGTTTGTTTTATAATTAAAGTAGATCTCTTTGTGTTAAAAGACGGGGAATCGACTTTAGAGTAACATTTTATTTACTTATTGATTCATGAACTAAGAGTCCCCAGATTTCAGATTTAAGTGGTTAAAGTACACAGTTCACTGGTGGTGACATCATAGGCCTCTAGTTTATATGAACTACCTTATTTCTGCTTAGCTACTTTAAACCATGCTTAAGTATTTGTGTTCTTATTAGAGCTAACTTTCTTAGGATAAACTTAGGATTGGTATTGTCAAATTAATAGAATCTGTTTCTACGACCAAGTTTCAGTTGAACCTACATTATAAATTAATTTAGATTTCATGGAATTTACAAATGCTTTGATATCTTGCATTTGGTTTCTAATAGTGAAGAGTTTTACGGGCTATAATGGTTTTTAACTTGCACATTTATATTTCTACTATTAAAGCAATAGTAAAAATTGTGTTAATAATTTGGCTACGAATATTCCATGCTTTCAAAATGTCCATGTTTTTACAAATATTGCATATTTTCAAGAAGTCTATATTGTGACAAAATAGTCATTTTACAACTTTCCTAAGAAAGATTTATCTCTTTTTCCCAGACTTCCTAATATCAAAAAAGTTGTATTTATGGTATAGATAATTAAGGATGAATTTCTTTTTAACATTATTATTTTGTTGGTTTTTTGTTTTTGAGACAGAGTCTCACTCTGTTGCCCAGGCTAGAGTGCCGTGGTATCAGCCCACCTTACAGCAACCTCAAACTCCTGGATTCAAGCGATCCTTCTGCCTCAGCCTCCCGAGTAGCTGGGACTAGAGGGATGCACCACGATGCCCGGCTAATTTTTTTTCCTATATATTTTTAGTTGGCCCATTAATTTTTTTCTATTTTTAGTAAAGATGGGGTCTCACTAAGGCTGGTTTTGAACTCCTGACCTTGGGTGATCCTCCTGCCTTGGCCTCCCAGAGTGCTAGCATTACAGGCGTGAGCCACCTCGCCCGGCCATATTATTTTGGCTTAAATTCCTTTAGTTGGCATGATCTGGTAATAAGTTATTCTAGTTAATTAAGTATTCTAGTTAGTAAAGGGTTACCACACATACATAACATTCATTCAATTGTTAAAGAATTAGAATATAGGAAAATATACTAAACAGTAAAACTACACTTAGTACAATTTAAATGGTGGTTCAGAAGATTCTTTTTTTTTTTTTTTTTTTTTTTTGAGACAGAGTCTCACTTTGTTGCCTAGGCTAGAGTGAGTGCCGTGGCGTCAGTCTAGCTCACAGCAACCTCAGACTCCTGGGCTCAAGCGATCCTTCTGTCTCAGCCTCCCAAGTAGCTGGGACTACAGGCATGTGCCACCATGCCCGGCTAATTTTTTCTATATATATTAGTTGGCCAATTAGTTTCTTTCTATTTATAGTAGAGACTGGGTCTCGCTCTTGCTCAGGCTGGTTTTGAACTCCCGACCTCGAGCAATCCGCCCGCCTCGGCCTCCCAGAGAGCTAGGATTACAGGCGTGAGCCACCGCGCCCGGCCTCAGAAGATTCTTTAACATCATAAGTGCCTTTAGGTTTATCATTATAAAAAATTACTATGCTTAGAGATGTGTATAGAAGTGCTCAATTTAATAAAATGTGAACTGGAGTTGTTTAGGGGAAAATAACTATTTTTTTATTATTGTTTTAAACTAGGTGACAATTAGGACTTCCTTTTCACAAATACTTGGACAGGTAAGAGAGTTGCCTGGTTGGTTGATTATTTATTGGCTTATGAATAGACATTGTAAGGAAGGGGCTGTAGACTTTTTCTGTAAAGGCCAGATAATCAGTAGTTTAGCAGTTCACATACAGTTTCTTTTTGCTGCCACTACCAGCGCAGCTGCTTTTTTCCTCTTCCTTCTTTTTTCTTTTCATTTTTCTTCCACTTTAATAAAATATAAAAGCCATTCTTGGCCCACAGGCAAGAGTTAGCCAACCCCTGCTTTAAGGTGGTGCTTTCATATTTGATACATCCCAGAAATGAGAGCTGATACCTGATTCTCAAACAAGTTAATATTTTTGCCTAAACGAATGTCATATTAAGACTTCATGTTGCTCATACTATGTTACAATTCATTGTACAATAAAATCTGTAGGTCTCGTCATATAAATGAACATTTTTAAAGAATTTTTTATATTATGCATGCTCAGTTTATAAAAGGTAAAAATAAATTCTACTAAAAATAAATGTGTTGAAATTCATTTGCAAATAATGTTAAAAAGTAATTTATTAAGCAGTGGAACTACAGATATTATTCATTATTCTAATTTACAGAATTGTGCAAACTGGACATAAATAAGATAGTATTGGTTAGGGAAATTATATAGTTTTAAAATTCAGTAAAATTTTTATTGTAGCTATTATTACTTTTACTTTATTTTTTGGTCTCTTGTATTTTGGCACACTAGAATTTTTTTTTACTTTGTCATTTAATACTGTAATTATAATAAAACTCACAAATCAAAATTAAATTAAAAATAGTTTTATATGCATTATCTCATTTGGTCCTCACAGCAACCCAGTGAGCTCTAGATTGTGATTGTTATTAAGTTTGTGAACACTATAAAATTCTAAGTTATGTATAAAAATTTTGTGCTAAATTAGGAAGGAAAGATTAAATGTTAGTGTAAGTTGGAAAATAGCACATTGATACTAATAGTATTCTAAAATGTTAGGGGACCAGTTATTATACCTCTTATGGGGGAAAATTCATGCTGTTGTATTTTTAGTATGTCCAAATAGCATATTACTGTACACAGTGATTTGGAGTGAGGATATAACATACTCTCTTATCTCTATCATACCGTGGCTTTAGTGACAAGAAAAGTTATATTAGCTTGATACTCTGTAGACAAGCATAATTATATTGTACACCAAAAGATGACAGACTAAAATTCTTGTTTAGATGTAGAAATCTTTCTACATAATGAGGATGTACAGGTGTTATAAGATCAGAGGTAGATATTTTTTTAAATATCAAGTAAAGAATTTATGGTAATTGAATAAAATTCTTAAATTATTGAAAAGATACAAGATGTTCTTCCTTCATGCTTGTTCAAAAATTTAGCTTGTAGGCAGTAGGAAAATGAATTAAAGTTGATAATATATCTTATTTGTTTTTTAAAAATAATATTAATACATACTTTGTGGCTTATTCAGTCACAGAAGACTGGGGAAAAGGAATAAAGAGAAATCACTGGGAAAATCTTCAGCCTTTGAGTAGATAATTTTTCATAAAATTAATATTTTTTTATGAGAAAAGGAAAAAAGAAAATATATTTACATATTTTTTAGTCTACTATGAAAAAGAGGGCAAAAAGCAAACTAAAAGTTACTTTCTCAAGAGAATTCCATAAACTCTAGTAAATCATTACTATGTAGGAGCGAAGTCTAGTGTTGCCAGATCTTTAGATTTTAAGAGAAATTGGAAATCTGTATTTACAATTGCAATTATATTTCTCTCTATTATTATGCACTTGATGAAAAGTTCAGATGTTTCTAATATGCTGTGTATTCTTAGCATTTTCTTTACTCTGAGTTTTTGATATTCATTACTGGAAATATATTTGTGGCTATCTCAGGCAAGGTATAATGAAAAATCTTTTAGTTTTTCAATGTTGGTATCTAAGTCAAAATTTAAGGAAATAACTGTGCTAAATACTAAGCCAAATGAAGCATGTGTACAGTTGGACTATGGTCCATGGAGGCCAGTTTATGATCGTTTATGTAGTCGTACATTATATATCCAGCTGCCGTAGCCCAGTATAACACTTAATATTCATAATAATGAGACTCTCATTAAAAGAAATTTTATGTTCACAATACTCTGTGTAGAACCTCTTTAAAAGATTCTAAAGACAGTGAAGGGCATTAAAGGTAATTGTAACACCTAACATTTACCAGTCTTTTACTATGTACCAGTTATTATTCCAAGTGCTTCACATAAGTGTGAACACATTTAAGCCTCGTACCCTTGTGAGGTAAGTGCTATGTATCTCATTTTACCCATGAGGAAATAGAGAGAAGGAGGATAAAGTAACTTGCCCTCGGACACAGACCTAGTGAGAGGCAAAGCTGGGACCTGTATCCAGGGGTCTTACTCCTGAGCTTGCTGTTCTGTTGAACTTTCCTTTCATACTCTGGGTAACTAAAGTATGCTATGTATTTCCCAACCTGTCATTAGCAGGCAATGAGTAGCATTTAGTAGTAGATAGAAGAATGTCCTTTTCTGTTTTACTCAACTTTCTTCTCCCTCCACTCACGGCTATAAACTGTAAATCATGAGTACATGCTATACATTTTTTTGTTTTTCTAATCTCTTTTAACCTGAGAATCTGTGGAGGAACTTCAGGGAGACCCTGAACTTCCTGAAATATTATGCAACATTTTGTGTAAGCTTGCATGTATTTCCATTGCTTTTATCAGATTACCAGGGGAGTCCGTGTATTCTAAAACATTCTGTGGAATGGAGAACATGCTTTAAAGTAAATTTCCTTTTAAAATGTAACCTTAAAAGAAGAACATAACACTTTGTTTTTATTTGTTCTAAACAGAGATTGGATTAGCTGATAGAATGACTACAGGCACTATTAATATAACAATGGTTCTAAATTTACGCTCTGAATTTAAAACCCAGTTCTATAAGATTTTTAGACACAGAAGGACATAAAAAGCTAATAATAGCAGATAAAATTTTCTGATAATATATCATGTATAAGTTATTATTGTGAATGTTTTACGCAAGTGGGCATATTTAATGCTCATAACCACCTATAAGGTAAATACTATTATTGTACCATTGTACTGATAAGGGAATAGAAAAGGACAGGTAAGTAACTTGGTTTTTGTTTTTTATTTTTCTTTTATTACATTAGCTTTGACTGGCTTACATTTTGACTGAATTATTTATTTATTATTTTTTTTTATTTCAACATATTATGGGTGGTTTCCTGTACCTGAATTTCTTTGCCTATTAAATAGGAATAAGAACTACCTCAGAGGATTTTGGGAGGAAGGTATGAGATAATGCATATAAGGTGTTTAGTATCATGCCTGGAACATATTAAATGCTGAATAAATGTGCCTTGTAAAACATTTTTGTAGCATGTGCTACTCAATTATATGTTCTCTCTATTATGCCTTTGATGAAAAATTCAGGTGTTTCTAATAAGCTATATATTCTTAACATTTATTTTACTTAGAGTTTTTGATACTCATTATTGGAAATACCTTTGTGGCTGTGTCATAAAGGGTATAAAATGAAGAACAACTTTTTTATTTTATGTGAAAGTATATTTATTTTGTTAATATGAATATGAATATTAATATTGTCCATCAATTGCCTGTTTTCTAGGTAGTTAGAGTTCATGGCGGAGCTCTTCCTGCTTATGTTGTATCTAGTATCCTCCTTGCTTATGGAGGACAGTTATACTCTCTTTTCTCAACAGGTAAGAATGCTTATAATTTTTAAGTTATTTTTGTTATGAATATTAAAGTAGAGCAAGTATTAGTTCCATATGTATATTTATATATATTTCATTCTATTATATTGAATCAGGAGACATAATAAGGGACTTCTTAGAAAGTACATAATAGTAGCTACTACTTCTGTTCTTGAAAATTCCAAAATAGCATGTGATTTTATGACCAGTCTTCCCTGCATCTTTATTACTTTTCCACTATAAACTACCAATGTTAAACTGGTTTGTGGCAGCTAGTCCAGAAACCTTCAGTTTGTAGGCTTAAGGCCTGCAAATTATTAACATTCCTTGGCCTGTCACTTCTGTCATTCTTTAATGGAAAAAATTATTTTATTTTATTTTAAAATAAACATAATTTTATTTTAATTTTATTTTGAGTCTAAGCAAATTAGCTGTTAAATAGTTTTTAAAAGTATATATATGGGAATAGAACAGTATGATAATCTTCATATAATAATTTTTTCAGTATTTATATCTTAAAAAGAAACAAAAAATTAACCACAATACATGCCAAATAATGCCCTAATATTATGATCAAGTAATTTTTTAAATAAAATGTGTTGATACATAATTGAGTATATTTATGGGGTACGTGTACTATTTTAATACATACGATGTGCAAAGATAAAATCAGGGTGATTAGGGTATCCATCACCTCAAACATTTATCATTTCTTTGTCTTGGGAACATTACAGATCTCCTCTTTTTATAATATGTAATAAATTATTGCTAACTATAGTCACCCTACTGTGTTATCCAACACTAGAACTTATTCCTTATAATTGTATTTTTGTACCCATTGACCAACCTTCCTTCATTCCTCCTCCCCCATACCCTTCCCAGCCTCTGATAACTATCATTATAATTTCTACCACATATGAGGGAGAACACGTGATATTTATTTTTCCATGCCTGGCTTATTTCACTTAATATAATGTTCCATTCACATTGCCGCAAATGATAGAATTTCATTCTTTTTTATGGCAAATAATATTTAATTGTGTAAATATACCACATTTTCTTTATCCATTCATCTGTTGATGGACACTTAGATTGATTCCAAATGAAGATATTCCATATCTTGGCTATTATGAATAGTACTGCAGTAAACATATGAGACATCTCTTCGATGTACTGATTTCCTTTCTTTTCAATACATACCCACCATGTTTCTCCGAAAATAAGACCTACCCATAAAATAAGCCCTAGCAGGATTTCTAAGCATTTGCACAATATAAGCCCTACCCCGAAAATAAGACCTAGTGATGGGCGTGGCTATGCAGCTTATCTGCACAACCCATGCATTTCGTCTTGGAGTGGTAAAGAACACAAGCAGCCCTTCTCATGAGAGATTGGAGCCAATGGTTCTAAAGGAAATAGAGTCGTAAGAAATTCAGGATGGAGTTTGGGGTTTGAAGAGATATGATGTTCCAGAAGAAGACAACTTAACTATATTTGAATAAATGTAGATTGTTGTACCATACTTAAAAAAAATAACACATCCCCTGAAAATAAGCCCTAAGGTACCTAAGGTGTCTTCTTGAGGAAAAATAAATATAAGACCCTGTCTTATTTTCGGGGAAACACAGTAGTAGTAGGATTGCTGGATCGTATGGTAGGTCTATTTTTAATTTTCTGAGGGACCACCATGTCATTTCCATAGTTGCTATGCTAATTTGCATACCAGTAGTGTACTAGCATTCCCCTTTTTCCACATCCTCATCAGTATTTGTTATTTTTTGTCACTTTAATAATGGCCATTTTAAATGGGGTTCGATTAAATCTCACTTTGGGTTTGATTTGCATTTCCCTGATAATTAGTGACGTTGAGCATATTTTCATGTTTATTAGCTATAGTCTATCTTCTTTTGAAAAACTTCTGTTTATGTCTTTTGCCCACTTTTGAACAGGGGTATTTGTTTTTTCCTTGCTGGTTTCCTTGAGTTCTTTGTAGATTCTGGTTATTAGCCCTTTATTGGGTGTATAGCTTGCAGATATTTTCTCCCAATCTGTAGGTCATCTGTTTGCTCTGTTGATTATTTCCTTAGCTTTGCAAAAACTTTTTAATTTAGTCAAGTCTCATTTATTTATTTTTGTTGTTGCTGTGATTGCCACTGGGGTCTTCTTCATAAATTCTTTGCCTAGGCCAAGATACACGAGAATTTTTCCTACATTTTCTTCTAGAATTCTTACAGTTTCATGCCTTACATTTAAATCTTTTATCCATCTTGAATTAATTTTTGTCAGTGGTGAGAAATATGAATCTTGTTTCATCTGCATGTGGCCATCCAATTTTCCCAGCACCGTTTATTGAATAGGGATTCTTTTCTCCAGTGGATATTGTTGTCAGCTTTGTCGAAGATCAGACAACTCTTTCAAATTAACTCAGTCAAAAATAAAGAACAGAGAATTAAGAAGAATGTACAAAGCCTACAAGAAATATGGGATTATGTAAAATTGTCACATATAAGAATCATAGGTATCCCTGAGGGTGAAGAAGAAAACACACAAGGACTAGAAAACCTATTTGCAGGAATAATTAAGGAAAAGTTCCCTGATCTTGCTAGAGATTTAGACATCCAGGCTCAACGAACACCTCAGAGATTCATTGCAAACAAGCAATCACCAACATACATAGTCATCAGACTGGCCAAAGTCAGCACAAAGAAGAAACTCCTGTAAGCTGTGAGGTGACAACATCAAGTAACTTGATGACTGCTGCACTTAAACTCAAAAATGTAGAGGAAATGGACAAATTCTTGGAAACACAAAACCTCCCAAGACTCAGTCAGGAAGAAATAGAACTCCTGGACTGACCAATAAATCATGAGGTTGAAGCATTAATAAAAAATCTTCCAACAAAATAAAACCCCAGACCACATGGATTCACAGCCAAATTTTACCAGACCTACAAAAAAGAGTTGGCACCCATACTGCAGAAATTACTCCATAAAATTGAGGAGGGAATCCTTCCTGACTCATTCTATGAGCCAGTGTCATCTTGATACCAAAGCCATGAAAGGACACAACAAAAGAAACTATAGTCTAGTACCCCTTATGAATATAGATACAGAAACCCTCAATAAAATACTAGTAAACCAAATTCAACAGCACATCAAAAAAAAAAAAAAAATCCACCATGACCAAGTGGGTTTCATCCTAGGGTTGCAGGGGTAGTTCACCATATGTAAATCAGTAAATGTGATTCACGACATACACAGAAACAAAAGCAAAAATCATATGATCATCTCAATAGATGCAGAAAAAGCATTTAACAAAATTCAGCACCCTTTCATGATAAAAACCCTCAACAAACTAGTCATACAAGGAACATGTCTCAAAATTATAAAAGCCATATATCACAAACCCACAGCCAACATCCTATTGAATGGGGAATAGTGGAAAGCATTCCCCCTGAGAACTGGAATAAGACAAAGATGCCCACTTTTACCACTTCTATTCAACATAGTTCTGGAAGTCCCAGCCAGAGTAGTCAGGAAAGAGAAAGAAATAAAGGCTATCCAAATCAGGAAAGAGGTGTACCAAACTACAACTTTTTATTGATGATGTGATCTTATATTTAGAGAACCCCAAAGACTCCACCAAGAGATACCTGGAATTGAATAAATTCAGCAAAGTTTCAGGTTACAAAATCAATGTACACAAATCAGTAGCATTCCTATACACCAATAACAGTCAAGCTGAGAGTCAAATCAAAGACTCAATACCATTCACAATAGCTACAAAGAAATCAAAATACCTAGGAATATACTTAACTAAGGATGTGAAAGATCTCTACAAAGACAGCTACAAAGAAATGAGGAAAGAAATCACAGATGACACAAACAAATGGAAAAACATTATCATGCTCATGGATTGGTAGAATCAACATTGTTAAAATGTCCATACTACCAAAGTGATTTACAGATTCAGTGCAATCCCCATCAAAATACCAATGTCATATTTCACAGCTATAAAAAAAATAATTCTGTGCTTCATTTGGAACCAGACAAGAGCCTGCATAGCCAAAGCAATTTTAAAGCAAAAAGAACAAATCTGGAGGCATCACATTACCAGACTTCAAACTATCCTACAAGGCTTTAGTAACCCAAACTGTATGGTATTGGCACAAAAATAGAGACATAGACCAATGGAACAGAGAACCCATATATAAAACCATCCACTTACAGCCAACTAATTTTTGACAAAGCAGACAACTGTATACACTTAACCCTTTTAAAGCTCAGTTTTCCTGTGTAATCAAAAACCTAATAAAGCTGGTCATAGTGACTCACGCCTATAATTCCAGCACTTTGGGAGGCCAAGGCAGGAGGATAGCTTGAGGATTTTGAGGCCAGCCTGGGCAACATAGTAAGACCCCATCTCTACAAAATATAATTTTTTTTATATATTAGCTGGATATGGTGTGGTATGCCTGTAGGCCTAACTACTTGGGAAGCTGAGGTGAGAGGATCTCTTGAACCCAAGAGTTTGGGGTTAGTGTGAACTATGATCAGGCCACTGTACTCCAGCCTGAGTGACACAGCAAGACCCTGTCTCTTAAAAGAAAAAAAAAAAAAAAACAAAGATAACACAGGAAATTATTCTAATAAAACATAAATTCATTGTTGTTTTAGGCCATTATCAAGAAGGTAAAAACTTCTTGTAGTGTGATTGCTTCTCCTAAGGGGAACATTTATTAATAGATAACCTGTAAGTTGAACCTGATGAAAATGGTACTTGAATTTAATCAGACACAAGAAGAGTGTATAGGCCGGGCATGTTGGCTCACGCCTGTAATCCTAGCACTCTGGGAGGCCAAGGCTGGCAGATTGCTCAAGGTCAGGAGTTCGAAACTACCCTGAGCAAGAGCGAGACCTCGTCTCTACTATAAATAGAAAAAAATTAATTGGCCAACTAATATATATAGAAAATATTAGCCGGGCATGGTGGCAGATGCCTGTAGT